CGTTCCCAATCTTCATCACTCATCTCTTCGTCCACACTACACCATTTTCCAAATTCATCATTAAACCCAAGTTCTTTTATGCCCCATACAGTACTTAATGGAGGTTGTTTAAGAATTTCACGTAATAATTTTAAAGAGCTCATCATTCTATACAAATCTTCAGGTTTTTCGTAATAATTGAGAAATATTTTTGGTTGCATAAATGAATTGGAACTACATAATTCCAGGTGACCGGCACTCAATGGAGGATTTAAAACAGAGACCAAAGTAACCGTTTCAAAATTTGGTGGGCATTGTTTAGAATTAACATATTCATTAATAATAGGATCATATACAATTGTGGTTACTAATAAAATTATAATTAATGGATTATATTAAATGTTTTAAAAGATTCCAACAAAATATTATCATACTAACTTACCATAAGATTGAATATCGGGATGTTCATCAAGGAATTCTTCATGACTAGGAAATTTTCCTTTGGCATTTCCTTTATAAATCATTCCAAGCTTCATTCCACTACACCAAGTATGAAATTGAGAAGTATTATTTGGAATAGAAATTTTCCCAGTAACCATACATAAAGGATGATCTTGTAGATTACGTCCAACTGGTAATTCTTTACGAACTTTGATATTATTTGCTTCCAAATTATTTTTTAGACCGATTCCTGATAGCATTAAAATCTTTAAAAAAAAAAAATATAACGGGACTCAATCACCAAACATCAAGTCATGATAATTTCATTAGCGAAAAATTTAAATTTTTACCTGAGCGCTATTAATAGCACCACCACAAATAATCACTTCTCCCTTTGGAGCAATATAAGCATTACGAACTCCACCATTGCAAAAATACTTAACGCCAATTGCTATATTTTCATCTTCCTTTTCTTCATCCCAAATAATACTTAGCATGTGTGCACAAGATTTAACATTAACAGCAATGATCTTTGCAACGCCGGAAGCTAAACCATAAGGGCGTCCTAATGCCTTTAAAGGAGGATATGTTTCAACTTTTTTCAATGCATCTGTCAAAAAACTGTCGGCCAACGAGCACCGATTTCCATTTTGTGTCGTGCTCTATATTATATTATTATATTAAAATTGAATTAATAAAATATTTAAAAGTTTACTCATTTACTATTAATTTACCTGATATTTTCCTACTCCATTTTGTCTAGCACCATTAAAGTCTTTATTACAAGGAATGCCAAGATTATTTGCAACTTTAATGAAATCTTTTGTAACCTCGTAAGTATCAGTTGGACTATCTTGAACGTGAAGTAGGCCATTGAACCCGTGATACTTCTTAAATTCTTCGTCAGGGTTTTCACGCGCGTTGTTTTCCACGGCTTTGAAAGCTTTTATAAAATAAAATAATTTAAATTTAAATTTCATAATATATAAGCAAGAAAAATTCATAATGGATTAATATATACCCTCAAGACAATGATCGTAATCCCAAATTTTGTATTCAGGACCTTGTGCCGCCCAACTATCATAATCAGCCCTTTGACCTCGTCTAAAAACATATTATGATTTTTAATTATCAAAAAAACAACCATTTAAAATTTTAATGTACATTAAAAAAAAAAAAGAAAAAAAACTCACATATAAACCATTGCATTTACAGTACTGCATCCTCCAATGACCTTACCACGTGGGTAAGTGAACCCTTTATTTAATACTTCTTTTGCAGGTTCGGTAATGCTGGGCATTTTTTGATCTTCTGTTATATATCCCCAATCTACTTCACTTGCTCGATAAGCCTATTTAAAATAAATCGTAAATCCAAAGTATTTTGATAATGTATTTTATTTCATAAACTTACCGCAGGAAAAGTACAAGGTAAACGCATTATATCATTAACATGAGCACTCGGTGGACCAGCTTCTAATACCAAAATATTAACGTTGGGAACATTATAAATCAGTTCTCTTGCTAATACACATCCGGCAGTTCCAGCCCCAACAATAATAAAATCATAAATTTCATCGTTAGATTTTTGACGTTGATCGCGGTAATTAATACTCTCTGACCAAAGATTGCGAATTTCTGCATCAATGGTCTTCGTATTATTGTTTTCTGATTCTTTCATAATGTATATTTTTTAATTAATTTTTTTTTTTTTGTTGAAAGGAACTCTTTTTTGCTCCTTAAATAATAATCTCAGGAACATCTGATAACTAAAAAAAATTTCTGTTAAACAAAAGGAGAAAAGATAATTCGATGAATTTTAAAAAATATTTTCTCACATATTACAGATGATTTTTATAAATGGAAATTGAAATATAAATTTGGAAACACATTAAAATTACGTTTAAACAACAATAAACAAAGAATGTCACGTAGATCTTTCCTTCTTTGTATAATTCAATACTTAGGGTTTTAAGTATAAGCAACGATAATTTGATTGTTTGCATCTTGTAATTAACTTCTTTATAGTAAATATTTATAAATCTATGGAATTACTCTAAATCCGATAGGAAATACTCTGTTTACTATAATTATAAATAACAAATAAAAGATTATTTAGAGTAATAAAAATAGATAAACCAGAATATCGTCAAATCATAGCGTTATCATTAAAAAATATAAAAACGTTTCGCCTCTTAATCATTTTTTATTTTTTTTAAAAAAAAAAATGGATTCTAAACTCGCTCCTTCAAATGTTTATTTTTCAAAAATAAATTGCTGCGTGGATAGAACACAAATTTCTTCGGAAAATTGAAGTACGGGTTATGCAGCCATACTCCGTCGAAAAAAAAATAAAACCGCCTAGAATGTTATTTGAAGTTTTCCATAATTGTATAGTTTTATATATAACGATAAGTATCGACAAATTTTGTGACACGTAAAAATTTTTCCTCTCTAATATGATACACCCTTCATATTAAAAGACATTTTATTAAATAATTTTGACTTTAGTATTTGATAATGTCATGACAAGATTATTGGCTATTATTTGAAGTATTTTTAATGACAGTTGAACATTACTAAATTCTAAATAATATTAATCAAAAATAATTCTACAATTAATTCTTATAAGGTTATAAATTTTATAAAATATTAATAAATAACAAGTTTAAATAACGAAAATAAAAACATCACACAAATTAAAAGTTAACCTTCTCAAAATATTTTTTATATTTTTTTTTCACTTAAATATTTAGTTCGATCCGAGATTGAGCCTTTATAAAAATTCATCGATTTTTACAATATACTTTATATCTTTTTATTAGTCCTAAATTTTTTAATTCGTACTTAACGCCCTTTAAGAAGAATATTAAAAGAATATATATATTTTCAATTTTATTTTTCAAATCTTACAATTAAAATGCTTTATTTTTTATAAATAAGGTTTATCTTATACTAAAACTTACATTTAGACAAATTAATAAAATATTCTTTCATTATTTGTTATCCTTGAAAATAATACTTACAATATTATCTAATTTCATCAATAAGGTTATGGGCAAACCTTAACCACATTTTGGCAATGCTTGAAAATTTTCGTAAATAATTTAACAGTTTAACGGGCTTTATGAATTTGATAGTTTCGACGAATTTAATAGGTTATGCTAATTTCAATTTTTAATTTTTTGCATTTCAATTATTTTTATCTACATCGTAATAATTTTAAGGATAGGTAATATGGGACTTTGCAATAGAAAGGGAGAAACTGCCGGATAAATTAATATTATTTATATGACAAATATGATTTTTAGAACAAAATAAGTTCATATTTAGCATTAACTCATTTTTTATTTTTCCAGCCATTTCCCCTTTTCTTATGAAAAAAGAACTACTTTGATCATAATTTCAGCGTTCTGACCTTTAATGATAGATATTATATAAAAGAAACATAATTAAAATTTATGCTGTGCATTTTTTACTTGGAGATTAATTTAGAGAGTCAGAAATAATGAAAATATTTATAAAAAATTCTCACAAGCTTTTCTTATTAAAGTTCTAATAAGCTAAATTCAAGTAAGATGTAACCGAAATTGAAGATTTGATAGATACTTTCGCGGTTAAAAAATAGTTTCGATTTTGACGTCTGCCAAAACCTTAAGATTTTTCCAGGGAACTTTTATTCATCTTACAACATTCTTACCAAATGATGGAAATAATAAAAATTTTGCGCCCTTTTCTATGCTCATGAATTTTTTTTTTTTTTAAAATTTTCAAATTTTTCTTTGGGTAAGATATGATTTTATTTTATCTTTTTTTAAATGTGTATACAGTCGCCACTGGATATAACGAACCTGTTTATACCGAAAACTCGTTATATCGAACCAAGTGATACAGAACCGATTTTTTATAATTAATTGCACTGAATATACTGAAATTAAATAGTAAAATGCCATATACCGCATCCGAACTTATGTTGGCCAAATGACTTAAATTAATATATAAAATTATCGTACCAAACCCTACAGAACGGAGGGTTCGTTATATCCAGTGGTGACTGAATTTTTTTCTAATTTTGCTTTTTCTTAAAGTTTTTTTGTTTATTTTATTAAAGTAAATTGCTTTTTTAATTTTTTTTTTTTAATTTTTTTTTTTTTGACGATTTTTTTCGAGATAGAACGCCCAAATGCGTTAATTTCCGAAATGCGCAATTGGGAATCCCAATTGCGCATTTCGGACATTAACGCATTTGGGTTACAACAGAGTTACCATTGGGTTGGACATAAATAATGATCGACATAACAAAATACATTCTATTTTCTTTAGAAATTTTATAACAATGTCCGACAATATCAATAAAGGTAAGTGAAATTAGATACGGTACGGTACGATTTCATAAATGTTTCTTAAACGAATAAATTTGCTACGCACTAGAACTACTTTCGGACGCTACTACGTTAGAAGGTTTAGAAGGTAAAGAGAATTTATACATTGGTCTATATATCAACTTCAACAATAAATTTTACTTACGAAATATTCAACAATTGAAATCACAGATTGTAAGTTATACTTCT